TTGTGGTTCCAAGGACCATTGGTCCCGTATTTGCCGTGCTCCCAAGAAGGTTGTGGATGCATATCATTCTCGTCGTACGAAGTTTGAATCAAACTTCCTGCAAGTGGACGAACCGGAGACTACAAAGATGGAGGTTTCTGATTTTCAGGAGGATACCACTCCTATGGAAGATTAGAATCTTAGACATAGACTTATTTTTCAGTTAAAATAAGACAATTGGGGCCGAATTCCACCTAGTGGCCGAACCCCCACCTTGTTTTTTGGTTGATTTTGAACAATTTTCCTTTATGTTTTGGATTATTAGTTGGCGATTTATTTTGGATATTAAGTTTTTTCCTTGAATAAATGAAATTATTTTGAATTGATACTTGTTTTTTATAAACTTTTATGCATGTGACCGATTCAAATTAATTTTTCATTCTAGGTATGACTAGTGGGAAAGTTTAGTTGTCTGGCAGATAGTGCAACCACGCATACTGTTTTGCGTGAACGCATCTATTTCACTAACTTCGTACCTAAGAATGCACCTCTGACAACCCTCTCAGGCCCATCCAACCTGATCGAAGGATACGGTAAGGCACGTATAATGTTGTCCAATGGTACAATCTTGACCATTGCTGAGGCACTCTATTCTCCACGTTCCGGAAGAACGTTACTAAGTTTCAAGGACATTAGAGATAACAATTACCACGCTGAAACCCACGTAGAAAACGGAGTTGAATTTCTGTGCGTAACTTCCTACGAATATGGCCAGAAGCGTATTCTAGAGAAGATGGAGCGTAACCCGAGTGGTCTGTATACTACGACCATACGCCCCATAGAATGCCACTATGTGGCCGGCCCTACCACAGGGACCGCGCACGAAATTACACTTTGGCATGATCGTTTGGGACATCCTGGACAAATAGCGATGCGCCGTATCCTCAAAACTTCACACGGGCATCCACTAACCCGAAGCTTAGGTTCGATCCATGAAATTGCATGTCAAACATGTTCTATGGGAAAGCTTATTACTAAGCCTTCTTATGACAAGATTCGTTCGAATCCTCCCATTTTTCTACAACGGATTCAGGGGGACATTTGTGGACCGATTCAACCTCCCTGCGGACCATTTAGATATTTTATGGTTTTGGTTGACGCTTCTACATGTTGGTCACACGTGTGCTTGTTGTCCACAAGGAACGTTGCATTCTCCAAACTGTTGGCTCAGGTTATCAAGCTCAGGGCTCACCACCCTGATTATCCGATCAAATCTATTCGATTGGATAATGCTGGAGAATTCACATCTAAAACTTTTGATGACTATTGCATGTCGGTTGGGGTTGAAGTTGAACATCCTGTACCCCATGTTCACACCCATAACGGCCTGGCATAGGCTTTCATTAAGCGTTTACAAATGATTGCTCGATCGTTGGTCATACGTACCAAGCTCCCGATCGCTGCTTGGGGCCATGCAATATTGCACGCAGCAAAGTTGGTCCGCCTGAGGCCTGTTGCGACACAACCATTTAGTGCCCTTCAGTTGGTCACCGGATGCGAACCCGACATATCGCATCTGCGCGTTTTTGGTTGTGCGGTCTATGTGCCGATCTCGCCGCCCTTACGTACAAAAATGGGGCCTCAGCGAAGGATGGGAATCTATGTCGGATATGATTCTCATTCGATTATTCGTTACTTAGAACCTTTGACAGGCGATCTGTTTACCGCTCGTTTCACGGATTGTCACTTCTATGAGACAGTCTTCCCGTCGTTAGGGGGAGATAAGAACGTCAACGTTCCTAATGAACGACACGATTATCGTGGACGACTTCCACTTTGTCTCATTTAGATCCCCGCACCGCTCAGTCTGAAGCTGAAGTGCAGCGCATATTAGATCTCCAGAGCATAGCTCAGAGCATGCCAGATGCTTTCACCGATCTAGCGCGCGTGACAAGATCACATATTCCAGCTGCGAATACGCCTGCAAAGATGGATGTACCAAATGTACGACAGACTACCCTCCTGGAAGCCCGGGACGCCAATTCTGGTGATCCACGTACATTAGCGGCTAACCAATCATCTGCCCCTACACAAAAGCGTGGCAGACCCCTTGGTTCAAAGGATTCACACCCCCGGAAGAGGAAAACCACGACACAAGGTCCTGAAGAGCCTACCGTGAATCCGACTATCGCTTACTCATTTTACCCAACTCATGAGGAAATTCTAGATTATGGAAGCGTCATTGAAGAGACGAATCCTCCTCCCGAGAATCGTGAGATTTCGGTCTATTATGCTAGCTTAGATGATGTGTGGCGTAGAAATGAGATGATTGTCGACGATGCATTAGTATTTGCAGTAGCTACTGAGATCATGTTGAGCGATGACATTGAACCGCGTTCCGTTGATGAATGTCGACGTAGAGCTGATTGGTCAAACTGGAAACAAGCAATCCAAGTCGAACTTGATTCACTTGCGAAACGTAAGGTGTTTGGACCTGTAGTTCCTACTCCTCCACATGTGAAGCCCGTTGGCTACAAGTGGGTTTTCGTTCGGAAGCGTAATGAGAAGAACGAAATTGTGCGTTACAAAGCTCGTCTTGTAGCATAAGGTTTCTCACAACGCCCCGGGATTGACTATGACGAAACTTACTCACCCGTTATGGATGTGATTACTTTTCGATACCTTATCAGTTTGGTAGTTTCCGAAAAACTGGATATGCAGCTGATGGACGTAGTAACCGCGTATCTATATGGGGATCTTGATACGGAAATTTATTTGAAAGTTCCCGAAGGACTTACATTGACTGGTTCAAATATTTCCAAACCCCGGAACACGCTCTCAATTCGGCTGAGGCGTTCACTATACGGTTTGAAACAATCCGGAAGAATGTGGTATAACCGTTTAAGTGAGTATTTGACTAGTCAGGGATATGTGAATAACGAACTATGCCCTTGTGTGTTCATTAAGAAGTCACATTCCGGATTTGCGATTGTTGCAGTATATGTCGATGACATGAATCTCATCGGAACTCCTGAAGAGCTCGCGAGAACTGCTTCGCACCTGAAGTCGGAATTTGAGATGAAAGATCTAGGTAAGACTCGATACTGTCTCGGCCTCGAGATAGAGCATTGTTCGGATGGAATCCTAGTACATCAATCGAACTACACCCAGAAGGTGTTGCGCCGTTTTAATGAGGATAAAGCGAAGCCTTCGAGTACTCCTATGGTCGTTCGTACGCTAGATGCAAAGCGAGATCCCTTCCATCCGAAGGAGGATGATGAAGAGATTTTGGAGCCTGAAGTTCCTTATCTAAGTGCGATAGGCGCTTTATTGTACTTAGCTCAATGCACTAGACCCGACATCTCCTTCGCTGTTAATCTTTTGGCAAGATACAGCAATGCACCAACACGCAGACATTGGACTGGCGTGAAAGACATCTTCCGTTACCTTAAGGGTACTACGGATTTGGGCTTATTCTATCCCTACGAATCCTCGAGTGATGCCGTACCCTATGCTCATCGGGTTGATTCTCGCCTTGTTGGTTATGCCGACGCTGGATACTTATCTGATCCGCACAAGGCGCGTTCTCAAACGAGTTATGTCTTTACCGTTGGAGGCACCGCAATATCTTGGAGGTCAACTAAACAGACCTTAGTTGCCACTTTCGTCTAACCATGCTGAAATTCTCGCCTTACATGAAGCAACTCGGGAATGCTTTTGGTTGAGAGCAGTAGTGGGCCATATTCGAAGCTCCTGTGATCTTCATCCCGCCGTTAATGCCCCGACGACGATTTTTGAAGACAACGCAGCTTGCATCGAACAGCTCAAGAAGGGTTACATCAAAGGAGACAACACCAAGCATATTGCGCCGAAGTTCTTCTTTACACATCAACAACAAGAGCATCAGAAGATTGAAGTCACGCAAATCCGATCACAAGACAATCTGGCCGACCTCTTCACCAAATCACTACCGAAGGCGACGTTTCAGAAGCTTGTTCATGGAATTGGTATGCGTAAACTTTCTGAGTTGTAACTTTGCTATTTCTCTGTGGAATTATGTCAAACTCAGGGGGAGTATCTTCTAGATACTTGCTTGATCTTAATGTACTCTTTTTCCCTACGATTAGGAGCATTTTTCCCACTGGGTTTTTGCTACCTAACTAGGTTTTAACGAGGCACCCACCTTGGGCTGGTCATATCCCTGATGACGTCCTGTAGACGTTTCTTTTGACTTTGCATTTCTCACGCATTTTTCCTTAGACTATGGATTTTGTCCCTACTTGGGTTTTTGCCATAGCCTTAGGGTTTTTTAGTGAGACTTACTACTTATGCAAGTTCCTACCTTATTGAGAATAAGCGTTGTTCCTTGGAATCAATGCCGACGAGTCGACTTCCTCAACTTCTGCATGATGCTGAATCTACCTTGAGTATTTACCCACTCAAGGGGGAGTGTTGTAAACATTCCTAGTTTAAGTATGATTGTGTAAATCCTAGATAAGATTTGATTCTAGTTATTCTTTCCTATTACAACTTGTATTACTTGGAGGAGAAGAAATATTCTTCTCTCCCTTTACTACTATAAATAAAGGCACAATGTAGGAGGGATAACAACACACACATTCCCCTACAATTCTACAAACACACATCTCTCTCCTCTCTCTCTCTGCCGCCGGCCCTAGTCCCTCTGTCAGATAAAATAGACCACAACACAATCCTCTCTTTTCCTATTGGAATGAGGATTTTCTCCCAATCTTCTTTGTGATGATCCTGACATTGAAAATTTTATTTTATTTTACCGGAATATGGATGGAACACCACTTGTTTTCATATAAGTAGTAGAAAATAGAAGATCTTCACAGAGAGAATTCGAAGAGGATCCTCAATCCAACCATTGACCTAACGATGTTGTTGGGCTGACGTGTCATAGTAATTTTATAGTATTGGGCTCGCATGATGTTGGGCTCAAGGCCCACTAGGCCTACTTCGGGTTTTGAAATATAAAAGTAGACGTTGGAGTTGTTTTGGTCATTAAGCGTCGTCTATCGCCATTCCCCGCTCTCTCTTCTGGCCCTCTGGGCATTTCAAATTCAAACCAAGTCAAAATTCAAACCCCTCTTCGCGTTTCTCAGCCACAGACTGAGCCAAGAAGCCCCCAATGGAAGGCCGAGAGCCACCGCCTTCTCCGTCGCCGTCGCCTTACAGAAACCCCTCCACTCTCTTCAAAGACATCACCAATTTCAAAACCCCGAAACCCTCCTCGCGAATCTCCAATTTCCAGTCCCCCGGCCCCAAATTCTTCACTGCCTCGAAACAAACCCCTGGTACTTCTTCGTCATTTCGCCGCAGGCCGTCTCTCGCTCCGTCAAACTCTGGCCGGATAAAGGCGGCGTCCCGGAAACTCAAGGCATTTGAGCTCGAGCAGTCGCAGTCGTCCCGCAAGGCCCAAATTCAGAAAGAACAATCGCTCAAGTCGCTGGCCAAGTCTCTCTCCGTCTGGCTCAATTTCCTCTTTCAAAACCCTACATCCTGTGGCTGCAATTTGTCCGTCGATGGAGACCGCACGGGAACGCTCCCCAAGGGAAAGAGGGATAGCGATCCCGGCAGTGCGGTTGGGGTTGATTCGGCGTGGCGGGACCCCAAGCGTCAGAGAGACTCGTCGTGGCGGGCCGTGAGCGCTGTAGCGTTTTCGAGCTCCAAGTATTCGAACCTGCGTTCTTCGTTGGAGCATGTGTGCAGTGTTGATGATTTGACGCAGAGGATGCGACTCTATCTGAGCATGGGCAGTTGCAAGGAGGTTTTCGATGCGATGACTCATGTAGCAAAGGTTTGAATTCTCAGAATCTTTCGTATGATTTTCTTTTCATTTGTTTGGTTGCTAAGAAAGTTAGAGAAAATTTTAGTATTTGACCAACATGTTGACTGTTTTATTTATTACGCAGAATATTGATGAAGGGAGATTAAAGATGAAGGCACATTGTCCTTTAGTTACGGATTTTGGGTTGAAGGAGAAGGCCACTAGAATCCTCATGAGTTATAACCCAATTTGGCTTCGAATTGGATTGTACATTGTTTTTGGTGGAGATTCTTTGTTGTCTGACAGAGATGCTAATTCTGATGAAGAACTCAGGTTTCTGAAAATGATCATTGAGAAGCAATTTTTTGCACATTCGGGTCTAGCAAAAGATTATGCTTACAACAAGAAGGTTGAGGGTCTTTACAGACCGGGTTATTACGAAGCTCTGGGAAACGTCACTTTGAAGAGATTTCTGATGCTCGCTCTTATCCTTGATAGAGCGAAATGCCAGAGCAGTCTTTCTCTTAAGTATGGAATTGATGGAGTGGATGGGGGTTCTCCGTTATTGTTTACAGTTGAATCTCGTATTAAATCGAGTCATCAGGTGATCCATGGTAATCATCGCTCCATTTCTCTGTTGCTCGTTGATTGTTTTGTAACTGTCCTGGTTGAACTATAGGGTTGACTTTTCTTTAATTGTGGTTCAAAACTAGATTTTCTGTCATCTGATGTCATGCTTGGAGAAGGTAATATTTCAGCACATCTGGTGGTTTTAGGATACAAAGTATCCTATCAGCAGGTAGATTGCTCATTTTATGTGTGACACTCATTTACATCGGATTCTGTTTAAGTGTGTATTTTCAGGATGTGAGCGAAAGAAGTGTCTTTTAAGATTTGTTCAAGATTGGGCCCTTTCCATTGATGATGAGGCATAATGTTTCATTATTTAGTATCAACAAAATTATTTTCACTTTGTCTAATCGACGATTGATATTTGTTATTGTGCAGCATCCCCTTGTTGAATATGACTTCCGAGTTACAAATTTATTTGCTGATCTTCAAGATGGGGTGCGACTGTGCAGAGCCATTCAACTTTTGCTAGATGACGCCTCTATCCTCACGGTTGTTATTTTTCTTTCTTTATACTTTGAATAAATAGGCAGGTCCAATTATTGTTTAACAGAATGTTTATCTTAGTTAGTGATTTCACTGTTGCATTGGGGAACAGAAAATGGTTGTTCCAGCAGATACGCTTAAGAAGAACATGGCAAATTGTGGCATTGCCCTGCAGTACCTTAAACAGGCTGGCGTTGTTTTACATGATGAAGACGGAATGATGATTGTGGCAGATGATATTGCTGGCGGGGACAAGGAACTTACTCTTTCCTTGCTCTGGAACGTGTTTGTCCATTTGCAGGCCTGTTCCTTTCTTCTCCCTCCTATCGTTAAGAATTCTTTATGAGTTTACCGTTATCTGCTTGTTGGTAACATTCTTCATTAACTTTGTCATTGAACTTGCAGCTACCGCTTCTGGTCAAGAAAACAAACTTAGCTGAGGAAATTTGCAAAATTCGTGGCAGTGTGGTATGTCCATTTCAATGAGGATAAGTTTCTTATTAGTTTACCTGTTGGTCAATATATTGTTGTGGTATTATGTTTACATGGTCTATAGTTTCAATTAAAAATTGACCTTTAATCATTCTCTTCTGTTTCACAGATCAGTTTTGATTCCTCTTCATTGGAAATGATTTTAAAATGGATTCAGGTATTGCTGCTAATATATAGCCGAAAGTTTATCAGCTTATTCTTATTATGGGGTTTGAATAGCATTCTTTTGCAATTTAACAAACACAATCTGCAATTTGTCTAAGTTACACAAAAAATCACTGCTCTGCTCCTGATAATCATTTTTATTGGGGGTTTTCAGGCAATTTGTGAAAATTATGATTGCAAGGTTGACAGTTTTGCTTCATTGGTTGATGGAAAAGCCATATGGTGCTTGCTGGACTATTACTTTCGTAAGCAACTATCTTGTGGTCGGTCATCAAAGGTACTATATGTATAATTTACCTCCTATAATTTTTTGTGAACATAGAGATTTAGTTCCCTCTCTTCATTCACATTAAATTATATGTTACAGGATCGTAATAAATCAAGTCACGAAGAATCAATCATGTTGGCCACTGATTATTCAGATGCAGTGCACAACTTTTTATTATCCCAGAAATTGTTGACGTTATTGGGAAACTTTCCAGAGGTTTGTGCTGGTTTTCTTTTCTTCATTTTCACTTCTTCGTGAACTTCCCATCTAGCTTAAATTTTGCCAAATCCTACCATTTGAATACCTTTGCCAGCTTAATATACAATCATCTTGAAATATTTCAACAGGTTCTGCAAATTAGTGACATTCTTGAATACAACGGTGCACGAAATGACCGGAGTGTGGTGATACTATTGGTGTTCCTTTCATCTCAACTTATTGTCAAGAAAAATATGGTAATAAATGATGTTTATCGTTTAAAAAGAGCTGATATTTTATTATGGTGGAAGAATGGATTCAGCTGTTGTCATAATACTTTAACATTGAGTATCTCTTTGGCAGGACCAATTAAATTTCCATAAACTCTTGGGTTGTGATTGCCAAAGTACAGACAGAAAATATACATGTATGGGATGCTATGTAAGACCCGAAGCAACACAGGTCGAAGAGGAAACATATGACCACCACATCGAAGGTTTCTTTCCCTTGTTTTCTTGTATCTGTCTTCAAGGTTAATTTTATTTGTTCATTTGTTGAAACTGATTGCTTTATTTGTATTTTTCATTTGTTGTGATGTTTGTATATACAAACAGATTCTGTAAGAAAGTTTAAGGCTATTCAGGCCTGGTGGCAAGATATGGCTGAAAGGAACCATAAATCTGTTGCAAAACCAACTTCTCCTACTTCGCTTAACCTATCTACGAATAAGGATAACATTAATATTGAAAAAGGTAATTGTATTATCTTCTGTAGCTCAATGCTAGAGTAATGTCTGTCGTGTTGCCATTTCTTGTTACCCCTTGCTAGTTCCTCTCTCTTCACTCAGTTCTCTGACTCCAAAGTTCTTTTCTTTTATTTCCCCGATTTTCTTGATTTATTTGTATTCCGTCACTCAGAGGAGAGTTTATTGCTTACCTGTAATTTTATTCTATCATTTTATTTCTGGTCCTGATATCGTAAGTGTGGTATATACTGTTCTCTTTCTGATGGAGGAATCCATATCTGATACTTGCAGTAAATACTGACAAAGGCAATTATGAGGGAGGAAGTATTGTAACTCATGATATATCTACTCCTGATCTAGTTAAAGCTGCCATTGTTGTCCAAAGATATATTCGTGGGTGGCTTGCAAGGTTGAGATACATTCATGGGGTTGCTCTTGTAGATAAATCTTGCAATCGGTGCCAAGAAAATGTTGTGCGTGATCTTCAAGTAAGGGCAGAAAATACTGAGAAAAGCAATTATGAGGGAGGAAGTATTGTAACTCATGATATATCTGCTCCTGATCTAGTCAAAGCTGCCATTGTTGTGCAAAGATATATTCGTGGGTGGCTTGCAAGGTTGAGATACATTCATGGGGTTGCTCTTGTAGATAAATCTTGCAATCTGTGCCAAGAAAATATTGTGCGTGATCTTCAAGTAAGGGCAGAAAATACTGAAAAAAGCAATTATGAGGGAGGAAGTATTGTAACTCATGATATATCTGCTCCTGATCTAGTCAAAGCTGCCATTGTTATCCAAAGATATATTCGTGGGTGGCTTGCAAGGTTGAGATACATTCATGGGGTTGCTCTTGTAGATAAATCTTGCAATCTGTGCCAAGAAAATATTGCGAGTGATCTTCAAGTAAGGGCAGAAAATACTGAAAAAAGCAATTATGAGGGAGGAAGTATTGTAACTCATGATATATCTGCTCCTGATCTAGTCAAAGCTGCCATTGTTATCCAAAGATATATTCGTGGGTGGCTTGCAAGGTTGAGATACATTCATGGGGTTGATCTTGTAGATAAATCTTCCAATCTCTGCCAAGAAAGTGTTGCGCGTGATCTTCAAGTAAGGGCAGCAGTTAAAATCCAGCTTGCGTGGAAGAATTTTTCTTTCTGTCATTCTCTTCTCTATCAGCTTTCCGCTGCAACTAAAATTCAAAGTCATTTTCGTGGTTGGCTAGTGAGGAGGAGGTCTCATATTAAAAGGCAAGCAATAATAAAAATCCAAAGTGTATATCGAATGTCAAGATGCTGGAAGGCTTATCAGCAATACAAAATTGCAGCTGGTTCAGCCACCGTCATTCAATCTTATATACGTGGATGTTTTGCCAGGAAAGGCGCTGAAAATCATAGGCTTCTCATTGTTGCAATCCAAGTAAGTATTTCTCCATGTCTTCTGAGCATATAGAAACCTTGTCATATTAAAGCAATCTTTTGTATGCAACTTAATTCTATTGTTGTAGTTTTATACTATCTAGATGTGTGACTAATTTTCTCCCCTTTTCTATTGTGCAAGTATCATGTCTCAGTAGTGTGCTTAAATGATTTCAGAGATACTTCCGTGGCTGGTTGATCAGAAGTCAATTCTCGTGTCAAAGACAGGCTGCAATAAAGATCCAAAGTGCTATTCGAGGCTTGATATGGCGTCAATCATTTCATCGTCATAGACAAGCTGCAGTGGAAATTCAACGGATAGTCAGGGGGCAGATTAGTCGAAATAGGCTCTTAGGTATATTACTACAACCTTTCCTGACTGGTTCTTACCCATTTTATTTATTTGTGTTGGATGTTCTAGCCTTGAATAGAAACTTACAGTTACAAATGTTTATGGCTTTGGTTTGTTGCAGGTGCTGCTTCCCTACGCCCAATCGTCCGCAATGGTTGTCCTTTGAATAGAACAGAAGCCCTTTATATGGGTGCTGAACTAAATAAAGTTGTTTGCTCCGTGTTGAAATTGCAAAGGTGGTGGAGGAGTGTCATGTCACTAAACTTTAGAACGAATTCTGCAGTCATTATTCAGTCTCATATTCGAGGGTGGTTTGCTAGGCAAAAAGCTGTTAGAGAGAGGCAATGTATTGTTGCGATACAAGTAAGATATATCCCTTAATGTTTCATTTGTTCTCATTAGTCTCTTTTATTCAGTAGAAATCTAATGTTACCAGTTAAATGTGGCTGAAGTATTAGTCCACTGCATTTATGAAAAACTTGGAGTTACATAAATGTCGAAAGAATGCTCTAGCAGCTAGACCTTCGATTGATGTATTTCTTTGACTTAATGTTCCTTCCATTGTTTTTGGTTTCTGTTATGAATCAAAATGTCAAACAGGGTAAAAACCTGTAGTCGTAGAATTATTTTTGGCTATTTTTGAATATATTGTTTTCGCCATTGTTTTGTACTTATTACTGAATTCAGTAAATTAACAGAACCGATTTTGAGTGACAGTCATGCTGGAGAGGCTACCTTCTAAGGAGGAAAGAGACGGAAGGTCAGCTACTGGAGCTGCGCTTGAGAGTGCAAAAGTCTGCCACAAATGTAGATGATAGCATGCGGATTATAAACAGACTTGTAGCAGCACTTTCGGAGCTACAAACAATGAAAAGTATCAGCGGCATTCTTCACACTTGTGTTACTTTGGGTAAGTTGTTAGTGATTGTATGATACACTCCATTTCCAACATTTCTTGATCCAAGTTTGCATGCATTACGCTAATTTTACATTTCAGAATAGATTCGACAACATTTCCATGGTTTGTTCATGATTCTAAATTCATGTCTTTCCATTATTCCTACATGAAATGTAATCCTAGCATGGTGTACTTACGTTATAATCCTACTTGCAGACAAGGCCACTGCACATTCTCAGAAATGTTGTGAAAAACTCGTGGAGGAAGGAGCTATTAAAACATTGCTGAAGATTTTTGGCTCAGCCACTCGAAGTATACCCGATCAGGAGGTTCAAAAACACGTGCTCTCAACTCTAAGGAACCTTGCCCGCTATCCACACCTGGTAGAAGTGCTAATTGACAGTCCGGGATCAGTAGAAACTGTTGTATGCGAGTTTGTAAGGTTCGTAAGCCATATACTCTCAAATATGATTTGCCAAAATGAACGTTTGTTATCTTGGTTTAACGGCTAATAACTTACCCTAACTTCAGGAACAAGGAAGAGGGTTATTTCACAGCTTCCGAACTTCTGAAGAAGGTTTGTGCTAGTCGTAAAGGCGTTGAAGCTGTGCGTAAATCGCCCGCTCTTTTGAAAAGGCTACACAATCTTGTTGAGGAACTTAGTAGGAAGGCTGGCAACAATGACAAGAGGTCAGATTTAATCAAAGAATCTCTCGTTTTTTCTTTGGAAACTTAAATTAAACGATCGTTAAGCTCTAATTAGTACCATCTTAATCTTAATGCAGGAATGCCGGCCGAGTTACAGTTGCTAGAGAAGCTACGGAAAGGAGATTAAGGGAGGCTGTTGAAATTATGAAAATGGTAAAACAGAGGTACTAGTACTATTTACTAGGGTAACTTGTTGAGTTCCAGAGTGTTTAAAAAGTTACCTTGGTTAGTTATGATGTATTGCTGACGTGTGTATTTTGCCATTGAATTTACACGTTCAATGGGTGGGGGGAGTGAGAAGGACAGGGCAACTTGATTTGGTTGATGCACCTCAAATTGAATGCTTGGTTTTTTTTTTTCCACTTGTGGTTTTGTAAATTTTCTATCGAGTGCTTAATTCTATGAGTTTCATTTGATAATTTTTTCGTTTTTTATGCGTTAAGCTGAAGACCCACTCAAAGTCAACAAGGCTTTTAATTTTGGGAGGGTTGAGAATGGATGTTTATTGTATGCAGTTTTATTTTTGTTTTGCAAAAAATTGTTTCATGATTCGAACTTGTAGGGGTGGTCACTTAGAACCGAAAACTGAAACCGAAACACGAACCAAATTGAACCGCACCGAACGGTTTGGTTTTGCGGTTTTGAAACGGTTTCGGTTTTGAAACCGAACTGCAATATAGAAAATGGTTTGGTTTCGGTTTTGGCTTTAGAAAACTGCACTGAAACCGAACCGCACCGCAAATATTAATAAACATTTAATTAAATGTCCATATTAGATTTCATATTTTAATTGGTCGTTTGTTAAAATCCATACACTTAGTATGGACTCAACCACACTAGAATATCATCATTCATCACTTTCTTTTGTTCATTAACTTGAAAGACCTTTGTTATTTTATACCATCACACACACATATATGTATAAGGGTGGACTAATCTTGTTATCAAGAGTCGAACAATGATCTACTGAAGTCCACTCATTTGAAGCATGATATCATATATTCTAGTATGAAAGTTTCACTCACGTTTAATGAATTCAAATTTATTCAACTTGTTTTATGAAAAACATTGTAAGGGACACCTTTTTCGTTGCACAAACATGTTTTAACATCACAACTACATGCAACATGCTAATTGTTTACATAACATATGTCATTTTCCTATTACTAATGGGAAATGCTTTTTAATATGTTAAATTGCAAATTGTACATTTTTTCTTAAAAATCAAACCGAAACGTTTGAAACCACACCGAACCTAACCAAACGGTTTGGTTTCATTTTGGTTTTGGCTTCAAAACCGCACCGAACCAAACCGCAAAAACTTGCGGTTTTGGTTTTGGTTTCACTCAAAACCACGCCCACCCCTACGAACTTGTGACATTTTAGTTACAAAAGAACAACTTATTCGTTATATCAAAACTCGTCCTCACTTATTAATATTAAAAACAGTATAATTTTGTTTAGACTATAATTTTTCAATTATTTTGAGAATATTTTTTGTCATACAATATGCAAATAACGCAATGTCGAGTGATATATATTTCCTTAACATTATATGATCGGAAGAGACAACTATTGAGTTTTGTGGTCCTTAAGCCTGCAGCCGGCGGTCCTCCAGTTATCTTGATAATATTTTATAGCATTCCCAAAAGATTTTGGATCTACCTTGGAAATATTAATCGCTTTATTTGATCCCCAACACAAAATCCCATGAACCGTCTTTTATTCTCGTGACTAGCATTATCCTCTTTTGCGGCCACAACAAGTTTTATACTGTCCATTTTTTAATTTATGAGAAAAGAACAGCCGGTAACTACGCTTCTAACCAACGTCAGATATTTGGTTTGAGATCGAATATTTTTTTATCAATTATATTTTGATAGTGTTATTATTAACATTTTAAAATTTTTACCGTGCGATGCTCATAATATATATATATATATATATTATATTTTTTATATTTTTTTAAATCCAGAAGTTTGGGAGTATTGCTATTTAATAATCAAAGGGATCATGAACTTGAAATGGCTACGAAGTTTGATTGGTATTTGAGGGAAGTTCGACTTTGGTTCTTATAGTTTCAATTGTTACAATTGAATGACATAGATTTTCAGAAATTTTCAAACATAATTAATACTTAAATTTGATTTTTACCTTAATTTTGGATTACTGTCGCGTTGAAAACCAATTATTATTAGAATTCACTTAATTAAGTTGTCGTCATTGAATTGTAAGTAGTAGTAAACTAAATGCGTCAAATCATGATCACTGAAACTACAATAATCGATTGGTAACTATTTTTCTATTAGTTGGACTATTCTTCTTTGATTTACTGCATTTTGAATCCAAACACCCTAATTAGTAATAAATCATTTGTAATAAAAACCACTATAAAACCAATAAACCCATTAAACTATTAAGGATAAAAATGTAATTACACCTTCAAGGGATAATACTTAGAGGCTAAGGAATGTTTAGTTTGTTAGCTTAGTTACACTTTCTGTTAGTTGTAATGCCAACTGTGATAGTTGTGATAGTTGTATATAAATACTCAAAGTGTAAAAGTTATTTTTTGATTTAATGAGAATATTTCTCCTAATATGGTATCACTCGCCCTCAGTCTCACGACGTTTCTTTTTCGATCCTCTTTTCCTGCTTCTCTCTGCACCGCTTCATCTTCTCCGATCCATTGATCTTGTTCTTGATCTTGATCGTGTCTTGGTTGTTCTTGATCGTATCTTGTTCTTCTCGATTGTGATTTCTCTCTCAATCCAGCTATGGTGACTGCTACATCTTCCCTCTTTTGAGTCCACCGATCCACATCCTAACCCTAATTCTTGCGATTTCTTCCTCCATTACCATCCAAAATATTGGATCTATGGTTCCGCTCAAGCTTACCACCACAAATTACCTGACCTGGAGTGCCTTATTTGCTCCAATTCTTCGTCGCTACAATCTTACTGGTCCTTATTGATGGATCCATGGCGGCGCCGCCCCAAATATCTTCTTGATTCTTCTGGCAATCGCACCGCCACTCTCAATCCTGCTTATGTTACTTGGTTTGAGAATGATCAGAACATTCTCATCTGGATCAATTCAACTCTATCTGATTCTTTGATTCCTTACACAGTTGGCGTCACTTCTGCTCGCGAACTTTGGGCGAAATTGGAATCGCGTCTCGCCACTGCATCTCAGTCTCACATCCATGAGCTTCGTTCTCGTCTTCGCAGTCTTGTTAAAGGTGAATTGACTGCTGCTCAATATCTCCAGCAAATTGAAGAAATTGTCGATGCCCTAGCAAGTGCTGGTGCTCCTGTTGAAGATTCCGATCTCATATCCGTCACACTTCATGGCTTACCTCCTGAATTTGATTCTTTTGTGGATGCTATTCAGTTTCGTCTTGGTTCCACGACTATTGATGAATTACACGGTTTACTTCTCAGTAAGGAGATTCAACTCAACAATCGGAAGAAATCTGTCTCCACTGCACCATTCCAGGCATATAATTCCTCAGCTGGTATTCTTCCCTTGCCTGCTCCCTCTATCCCTCAGGCATTTACTGCCCAGCATCTTTCTCAGTTCTCCAATCAAGGTCGCAATGTGGATCGCAATTATCCGGGCCCAAATCGGGGCACTTTTCAGAATCGTGGAAATTCCAGATTCAACAATGGCAGGAATACCTACTCTCGTAATAATCAGCGATTCAATTGTGAAGCTCGCAATAACTCATCTTTCCCTCGAAAGCTTTTCTGTCAGATTTGTCGACAACCAGACCATGAGGCTTGTAATTGTCCTCATCGCATGGATCAAAACTACAATGGCAAATCTTCTCATTCTGCAATGGTTGCTGGTACCTCTCCTTCTACTCCTACCTGGATTGTTGACTCTGGTGCTAGTTCCCATATGACAAACTCATATGCTAACCTTCAGAATCCAGAAGCCTACACTGGTCCTGAGCAAGTGTATATTGGAGATGGCAAAGGTTTGCCTATTCTCCATTCTGGCTCATCCTCTTTACATACTTCTACTAATTCTTTTGCTTTAAAGCATGTCTTACATGTTCCTGCTTTAAAGCACAATCTTCTCTCTGCTAATCAATTTCTTCTTGACAATTCTTGCTCTATGCATCTTTATCATTTTCACTTCACTGTGAAGGATCTTTCTTCGGGGAGAATGCTTTTTAAAGGACCGGTTCAACATGGCTTCTATCCTTTTCACTCATCCTTCTCTCCTGCTACCTCGAGTCAAGCTTTAGCTGCCTCTGTCAAAGCTCCCCAGCATCTTTGGCATCAAAGACTGGGCCATCCTTCTGTAAAGATCATGAATAAGTTGGTTTCTCAATCCTGTATTTCTGTTCTTGCTGCTTCAAATAAAGCTTTTTGCTCCGATTGTGCACTAGGAAAATGTTCTAAACTTCCATTTTCTAGTACTACTTGTCATACGGATGTTTGGGGACCCTCACCCATCCTGTCTCATCATGGTTTTCGGTATTATGTCATTTTCATAGATGACTATACCAGATATTGTTGGTTCTATCCTTTATGGTGTAAATCTGATGTTCTCTCCACCTTTATGCAATGGAAATTACTTGTTGAGAATTCTCTGTGTACAAAAGTTATTTCATTACGTTCAGATTCTGGTGGTGAATATGTTAGTACTGCATTCTCTCAGTTCTTAGCTCGCCATGGCATTCATCATCAGCTCACTTGTCCTCATACCCCCGAGCAAAATGGGTGTGCCGAACGTAAGCATCAGCATATTGTTGAGACTTCTCGAACTCTCCTGGCAGTCTAAAGTGCCTCATGCTTATTGGGTTGAGGCTTTTGCAACCTCTGTTGATCTCATCAACCGGCTACCCACAATATCTCGATACTCTCCTTGGCAGTCTCTTTTCCAGAAAGCTCCTGACTATACATCTCTCAAGGTTTTTGGTTGTTGCTGTTTCCCTTGGTTGAAACCATACACATCCTCCAAACTTGATCCTAAAAGCACACCCTGTGTCTTCTTGGGTTATAGCTTAAATCACAAGGGCTATCTATGTCTAAATCCATCTACTAACCGGTTGTATATTTCAAGACATGTCCTCTTTGATGAGTCTACTTTTCCCTTTCATACCTTACAATCGTCTCCATCTCAAACCTGTCTCTCCTCCTCTCCCTTATACTCCCCCTCTATTCCCTCATCGCTCACATTTCACTCTGTCTCCACCCCACCTACACCCTCTGCCCCTTCTACAACCCAGATTCCCACCTTGCCAGCATCTTCAAATCTGCTCCAACCATCTGCAGCTTCCCCAAATCCCTGCTCCCAACCTACAGTACCTATCAACACCCACCAAATGCAAACTCGTTCAAAATCTGGCATATTCAAACCCAAAGCCCTAGCTGCAACCAAACACCCTATTCCTTCCCATCTTGTAGTTGACTATGTTCCTTCAACCTACCTACAAGCTTCTAAACACTCTCATTGGCGCAAGGCAATGCAAGAAGAGTTCAATGCCCTTGCCTCCACTGGTACATGGTCACTTGTACCCCCTTCTTCCTCTCATAACCTTGTGGGCTGTAAGTGGGTGTTTCGGATCAAACGAAAACCCGATGGTTCTATTGACAGGTACAAAGCCCGTTTGGTTGCTAAGGGTTTTCACCAACAAGAGGGTCTTGACTACACTGAAACATTTAGTCCCGTGGCAAAACCAGTGACTATTCGTCTCCTGCTCACTATTGCTACTCAGTTTGATTGGTTCCTCAATCAATTAGATGTCAGTAATGCCTTTCTCCATGGCACCCTTACTGAATCAGTGTTTATGCAACAGCCCCCTAGCTTTGAAGATCCAACCTACCCGCATCATGTTTGTCATCTTCACCGATCTCTTTATGGTTTGAAACAGGCTCCTCGAGCTTGGTATGACAAGCTTCATAATGCTCTGCACTCTCTTGGTTTTCATGGGTCCAAAAGTGATCATTCTCTGTTTATAAAGAGTTCTTCTACTCCGGTGTTCATACTTGTCTATGTCGATGACATCTTAGTCACCGGCCCCTCTCCTGCAGCCTGTCAACAGGTCATCACTCAACTCAGTGCTCTGTTTCCCATCACAGATCTTGGTGCTCTTCATTACTTTCTTGGTATTGAAGTTAAACGATCCTCTTCTGGTCTTTTCATCTCTCAAACCAAGTATATTTTGGATCTATTTGGCCAAAGCAAAAATGGATGGTGCCAAGCCTGCAGCACCCCTCTCAGTACAAACCAAGCTGGATCACTTGTCTCCTCTGCTCGATAATGCTTCTGAATATCGATCTCTTGTTGGAGCTCTTCAGTACTTGACTTGGACTCGGCCTGATCTTAGTTTTGCTGTGAATTTGGTATGTCAGTTTATGCATAGTCCCCGACTTTCCCATCTGCAAGCAGTAAAACGTATTCTTCGCTATCTTAAAGGTTCTCTTGATCTTGGATTATGGTTCCCCAAGTCCTCTCAAGTTCCGTCTATTCAAGCCTTTTCCGATGCCGATTGGGCGGGATGTTCCTTGGACAGAAGATCCACAGGCGGATACTGTGTCTATTTTGGCAAATCTCTCATTAGTTGGAGTGCCAAGAAGCAACCTACTGTTGCTCGTTCCTCCACAGAAGCGGAATATCGCTCTCTTGCAAATACGGCTGCGGAAATCACATGGATATGTAAACTGCTTGCTGACCTCTCTTATTCTCTGCCTCATTCTCCCACGATCTGTGTGACAATCTCTCTGCCATTTCTTTAGCGAAAAATCCTGTTTTTCATGCTCGAACAAAGCATGTCGAGCTTGATTATCATTATATTCGTGAAAAGGTTCTCGCCAATCAAATTTCTGTGCAGTTTATCAGTACACAGGATCAGGTGGCTGATATCTGCACCAAATCTCTGTCCCAACCTCGGTTCATCCTTCTTCGTGACAAACTCCAACTGAGATTACCCAGTCTCGTTTGCGGGGGGATATTAAGGATAAAAATGTAATTACACCTTCAAGGGATAATACTTAGAGGCTAAGGAATGTTTAGTTTGTTAGCTTAGTTACACTTTCTGTTAGTTGTAATGCCAACTGTGATAGTTGTGATAGTTGTATATAAATACTCAAAGTGTAAAAGTTATTTTTTGATTTAATGAGAATATTTCTCCTAATATAAACATCACTTAAAATGGCAAGAAATTAAAGAGGAATACATAAAATAGTTTAAAACATTCGTACAATAATGTGAGAACTCATATCAAGTACAATCCACCAATCCTTCGCTTAACAAAAGTAGAATCCCCACAACTATTTTTTTTTTTTGAAAAAGTACGATATTCGTTAATAACAAATGAAATATGTACATCAATAAGAATATGGTGCAAATAGAATGTCTCGATAAAAACCTTACCGAGATTTTAAACTAATCGAAAAGAAAAATAGTACAACTAATTATTATCTAATTAATCTTATTTTAATTTGCCATGTTTAAACTAAAAACTAAGCAGCCCTTGCAAGAACTTCAAGCCTTTCTGGCACATCAGCTGGCTCAATGAAGAAAGCCCTCCTCAGAGATCTCGGCACCGTGACTGTCAACACTCCGTCTTCATATCTGGCTGAAATCCGTTCGATATCGACCCGGCCCGGAAGCCGGAACTTCCTCATGAAGGTCCTGCTGCTAGGCTGCTCCGTGGACTCCTCCTCGATCCTCTCTGTTCGAATTATGAGGTACACTGAGTCCTCCACTTCTACTTTTATGTCCTCTTTCCTCACACCTGCTCAAATCATATATAACAACCACCAAAACCAAAGTTTCACCGCTATTAAAAAAAGTGCGCGAAAATCACTTCATGAAAAAAGCAATAAAAGCGAAAAACCAACAAAAGAAAAGAAAAATTGGGTCGATTAATAATATTGTTACGTTGTTAAATACAAAGAACTTCCCTTCCATACAAAAGTGGATGCCTGTTGCGTTATCCCAAGCTAATCTCAAACTGTCACGTTAGACTGGTAAACGTGACAGTGCGTGATTTGCTTGAGATATTGCTGTCACAATCCAGCATCCAGTTGTATGTAAGTTTCTCTCGGAAACTAAGAGGGATGGTTGAAATTACCAGGGATGTCAGCCGAGAAAATGTGAGATTCAGGGGTCTCAGTCCAGTGCACATAGTTTTCTGGGACCAAATGGTATGGATAGATGAGATGAGAAGGGAAGACAGATTGGTAAGGATGGATGGCAGGGATCTCCATTGCTTTAGTTTACAAGAGCCAACAGAAGGAAGTGCTTTTGAGCCAACAAGAAGTGCTTTTGCAGAATGTTAAAATCTGCAATCCTAAAATGGGATGGATGAGGTAGGAGGTGCCTTCATAGGGAGGAAAAGGGTGGTCGTTGGTTAGCTTTTGTAGGCCCTACCCTAGCGGCCAAGTTGGGGCTTTGGGCAACTTGGACTTGAGGTTGGTTAACTTTGAGCCGTCATTTTTTATTGGCTATTATTCAAACTTTGACGCAACTTGTTCTTCCTTCTTTGGGTAAGTTGCTGAAAAGTTGTAATCTTGTGAGTTGCTAATTTAAAGAGAATATCATCCGCTTTTGTGGAGAGTACGTATTTGTAAAGTACTTATTATAATGGGTTGGTAAAATAGATACCTGAAAGGCAAGCCTCAAGTTTTTGAGCAAGATTCATGTTGACTGCCATATAGGATAGATCGATTGTGTTAATTTACGTGTTATAAGATAGATGGGCAATGTGACACGAAAAGATACACGTTTGTCGCACGAGCGGATTTGTAATACCACGATGAGGCACCGAAAAATTACAAAATCTTCCCGAGTATCAAATATGCAACGAGGTTGCTACTACAATTCAATGGGACAAAAAAGCAAGGCTAAAAATACAATTATCATGACAAGAAAGAGTTCAGATTGAATTTTGAAACTTCATGGTTGCCAACTCATGTATTTACTCCAAGCACAAAACCATTGCTGTACGAAGGAAGATTGCTGGAAGGCTCGTGATGTTTCACCGGCGAGCGGAAAGGATTTGGAGTCACAGGATGTGTGATATGCAGTCCAGCACTTCGTAGAGCCTGTTTAGCGTTTGCGCACGAGAGTTCAGATTGATCGGTGAAGAATGCTGGGACGGCCATGGACTTGATTGAATTAAGAGCTCCACCCCAATTTGCATAGCTATCCAATCCACAGTTCAGTGCAACGATGACATGGGGTGGAGGTAGGTAGGAGGCTTCCTCCTGATAAACACCCCTGACGAGATTCACCCTCACCCTGCTACCGATTCCTGAAGTTGTCCCCGACAAATTTGTTGGGACTTCAGAACCGACCATAACAATTTGCACGTTCCCCAATCCATTGAGCAAATGACCAACCTCTGCAAATGCCGGCATCCAATCCAACTCACCCTCTGGCCCTAGGTAGTGAACAATCACCTCCTTGCCCTTCTGCAGTAGGTTCTTTGAGCTGATGTTGAGAGTCGTTAATATGTAATAAACCGTCAATGGGTGAGAGAGGATATCAGCAACAGGGCTTGACAATGGCAGTGACCGAAGGTTGTAGTATTCCGACCAACCAGAGAGGAGGATTGGACTCGACGTACCATCTCTTACATGATGTTGAAAAGATGAGTCGCGTGGAAACTCTTCATCATCGAGCCCTCCCCAAGCATCCCAGAGTCCGCCTTTAACAGGAAGAAGACCGAAAGGGCAATGAGAATAGCAACTGCACCTTCTCCTCCACATGCCCTTCTGATGGATGCCCAATGATTCAAGCCATTTACAAGGTTGATCAGCATCACAAGCGAACATGAAGATGTTCATCTCAAGCTCTTCTTCCCTTTCCATCATAGCCTTGTAAAGACCGCACATGCTCTTATGTGTTTCTTTCGTATGCTGCTTCTGGCAGACAGAACTACAGTAGACCACAGCTCGACATCGTCCACAAGAGAGAGCCTGTTCACTCTGGATTTCTTTCTCACATGCTGCACACTGCTTCAAGCTGCCATTTAAGTAGACTCTTATATCAACAAAACTCTCCTCTTTTGACAGTTCTGCATATTTGGTTGGCGTTGAGCTAGCCGTTGTACTAGCCCTCTCTTCGTATGCCTGGCCAGGTGGGTGCGAAATTGTAACTGCAACAAGATCATAACCCTTGGCCATTTCTTGTGGCCACTGAACATCAACTGTTTCAATAAACGGTTCAAAGTGCATTAACCTCGACCACTTTGGACCACCTTCTTTGTCTTCCTGCAGCAATGGGTGCACCAGAGCTACGGCTTTCATGAATGCATACACAAACCTAAGCTCTTCAGAACTCGGATGCCTAAACCTAAGACTCCCCGATGAAGTGCATCTGGCAACATCAATGACAGGGAAGCGATCACTCCCTGACACTTCAAGTGACAAAGATTTGATCATTTTCCTATTCGAGGGAAACATCAATGCCTCGCGTTCATATGTGACCCGTAAAAGCTCAACATTTGGCACCTGAACTGTCTCTCTCGAGCCAGTCATCTTCTTTGCATCACTTTGAGACCGAAACATATGAAACCCTGTATCGCCACCATCCCCTCCAACGAATTGAACACACGGAAAAGGCTGTTTCTTGCCAGACCAATCGGTATCTTTCCCAACCCGGACACCAAAAATATGCCCGGGACACAACCTTTTCCAGGGATCAGTCCTATACAGAGCTGCTGAAGCTTTGTAGATGGACTTGATAAAATTTGGAGCAATACCTTCCACCTTCATAAGACATGTCCCTGATCCGGGACCAAGCCCCGGACCGGACCCAAATTGCTCCTGGAATCTACCGAACAAGTTCTTCAAATGCAAATCCATTTCGATTTTCGATTTCGACCCAAGTACAAAGATCTAACCAACTCCTTGATAACACCAGTAAAAACCCAATTCAAAAAATGACTGCTCTATTCTTTGCTTCACGTAAATATCAAACAAATCCAGTCAAACCCAAAATTTCTCTTCATTCATACATATTGTTTGCAAGACAAAAAAACCCAGAAACTCTACAAAATCCAAAGTACGGGAGGCGTGATAATTCACTTCAAAAGCTACTAAATTACATGAAAATCCCAATTAAATTAAGCAAATGGGGATCAAATTAACTTATAGAACTTGATGGATGAAGACATTAGTGATCCGTACCAGTAAAAGCTGAGGACTTTACTTCTCTCTTTCGAGTTCTCAGATCCAGAGCATCGCGGAAGATTGCAGCATTTGAAGTTTTTTTTTTTTTGTGGGCAACACTCGCAAGTGAGAGAGTGAACTGAAAACTAACATAAAAATTTGAGTAAATTGTAGTTATGCTCCTTTAACTTTTAACTCAATTTGAGCAATAGTCCCTCAACTAAAAATCTATTTTCATTGGTCCCTCAACTCATCAAAACGTACAGTTATGGTCCCTCAACTAAAAATCTATTACCATTGGTCTCTCAACTTTAATTCAACTGGAAAAATTGTCCCTTAACCTTAACCAAATTGTAGCAATGGTCCTCTAACATAACTCGTTTTGACAAAAATTTTGACGTAATTGACGAAAATGATCATAATTACAAACTTTGTTGAGTTGAGAGACCCTAATTGTATAAATGGTCATTCCAACATAACTTATTTGGACAAAATTTTGATGAAATTGATGAAAATGACTATAGCTACACATTTTATAGTTCAAGCGATATGTGTTGTCGTTTCACGGTCTTCATTCGTCAAGTATTCACGGTTTTCGGGCTCATAGAAAATTGGCCCAAGGTAAGACGAATTCTCAAATTCACTAGGGTGGGTCAAGCCCCTCATCAAACTCGTTGAGCCGTGTGCATTGCGAGTTGTACTTATACGAGATTAGATGATAATTGAATTTAGCGGCTCTTGTGTCTGTTGTGATCATTCTTGATTAGTTAGCTTGCTATGTTGTTCTGCATTCTGTTAGACTATGGATTACAGGAAAATGTAGTTAAATGAGACAGCAAGCGGGTCAGATCAACATTCGATATTTCTTGACCCACTACTGGGCAAACCAATTGGGCACTAGGTAATTTCCTACAAATAGAGATGACACTGATTTAGTGGATACAAGAGATTTATTTAAATGTTTTTGTTGATTGATATATGGCCTCTCATTTTGTCTCTTACAAATTTAAAAGACGTTGATGTGGACTATTACGTGGTAGGAAATAATAATACGCAAAACATTGCTCAATAGATGAGATAAATCATCATCACTTAGAAGATTAGTGTTTTAATTGTACCATTTGGACAAGAAATAAAAAAGGGCACTTGTTAAAAAAAAGGTATAATTTGCGTTGCCAGCAGTTCTCGTTGATATGTGATTTGTATGTAAATCCATGTTAATGGTAGCTTTTGATGCCAAGCTTAAGTCACTCTGACTTGAGATTGTGGGTTTGCCTGACGCTGGTGGTGAGAGTAACCAATCCCTTCTTAAACTTTTTTGTTACCGAAAAAAGAGAAAAAGTTATTAATTTGAGCCATAAAAATGGGAGCCGATGCATTGCGGACACATGTAACATGGGTCCATTTAATGGGGGCCTTATTTAATTGGTCCCAGTTTTTGCCGACGTGGTATAAAATAGGGTCCACAATAATGGGCCACATCCACCGACAAGCCCGAATTATTAAAAAATTACCACGCGAACGGCTTACGTGTCTGCTCCTAGGAAATCCAAATCCCTAATCTACATTTAAAATCTCTCCGTCTGACTTTTTGTCCCCTTCTCTCTTCCTCTCCCTCTCACAGGACCTTTTCGTCCTCTCGATTAGGGTTTCTCTCTCTCTCTCTCTCTCCTCCCATTCTCTCTCTACATTCACATGATGATGCAACCGGGTGCAGGCGGTGTGGCTCCGTCGGCATTGGGCCAGCAGCCCGCCCAGCAGTATGGTCAGCAACCCGCGCAGCCCTACATGATGATGCCACCGCCGACTGCCCAGGCACCTGCCATGTGGGCCCCGCAGTCGCATGTGGCGCCTCCGGCTCCTCAGCTCCCCCAGCCCGCCTCCGCCGACGAGGTCCGCACGCTTTGGATCGGCGACCTGCAGTACTGGATGGAGGAGAACTATCTCTACAATATTTTTCTTCACACCGGCGAGGTTCTTTGCTTCTCTCATTAGTCATTGTTAGATCTTTTGTTTTGCTTTATAATCACACCCAATTATACATATATATATATATACACATACATTCATATACGTATATGTTTAAAGCTCTGATTTTTATCTCCGTGTATTTAAGGATATAGATATACAAGTGTTTTCTTGGAATTATAATTATGTAATTGGAGGTCAGCGTTTATTTATATTTATTTTCTTGTTAATTATGTGCTGTAGGTTGTTTCTGTGAAAGTCATCCGCAATAAGCAAACTTGTCAATCAGAGGGTTACGGGTTCATTGAATTCAATAGCCGTGCTGCTGCGGAAAGAGTGCTTCAGGCATTCAATGGTACTCCAATGCCAAATGGTGCCCAGAATTTTAGATTGAACTGGGCATCTACCGGCGAGAAACGTTCTGATGATACCCCGGATTATACGATATTTGTTGGAGATTTGGCTGCTGATGTGACGGATTATGTGCTACAAGAGACATTCAGGGCCCGTTATCCATCATGTAAGAGTGCCAAGGTCGTCATTGATAGGCTCACAGGGCGCACCAAGGGGTACGGGTTCGTTAAGTTTGGAGATGAGTCTGAACAGATGCGTGCCATGACTGAGATGAATGGAGTTCTATGTTCTACAAGGCCTATGCGAATTGGACCAGCAGCAAACAAAAACGCCGGGGGCAGTCAGCAATATTCAAATGGTATGTTCTATATGGCTTTTTGGTTGTGGCTGCATGCGAATATCTTTGTGTTGCATTTTGGGAGAAGAGTATAAGAACTTTAATTGGTTGTTATTTCTGTATGACTGGTGTGTTCCCTTTTGTATTTTTCCCAATATGAATTACTAGTATGCCATAGTAAGGTAGTGTATTCTGGTTCTGATATGGTATCCAATGTGCGAAACATTACTTTTCAGTTGGCTAAGTTTGCTTCGTTTGAGCTTTACTCTCCACGATGAGCAGTGCTTTCCAATTCATTTGATTCATATAATTTCAATAGAAAATTTGGGCAAAGGTAAATGATATTAAAATCTTGACAACTTATAGAACTCCGTTGTCTCAAAGCAGGGTGTCAGGAGGCTCTGTCATCTAAGGGCCAGATACTGATTTCAGCTGAAATGGTCTCCCCTTAGTGCGTGGCCTCGCTAGGTCAGTTTCAAATTTAACGTACTGGCCTTTATTCTTATGCGGCATTTGTTATGCTGCATTTTTGAATTTTAAATTTTCTTTTCCAGCCCGTTCTGGTGGTTCAGCTTTCAGTGAAGTTACATGTTGTGATTGTTCTAGTTTCACTTGAGTATGATACCTGTATACTGGTGGTTAAGTTATCTTGTTATTTGGCTAGAAAAGTGCCCTAAAAAATATTTACATCTTTAATTCCTTACGTATCGTCCCCATCTGCCCTTTACATTTTCGTTCACTTTTACTTCCTCCTTGTGGTCCACATATTGATTGACGCTGGTTAATCCTGTTGTCTTCAATTCCTGAGGAAGGGTTCTGGAAGGAATTCCTGTTGCAACCCATTGGAATTTCCTGGAACTTTATCTAGTTGGCTGGCCATCATTGTCAGTACCTCATAATTTAGACTTTCCATGATATTTGACTAGGTTTTACCATTATATTTTAAACCAGACTGGGCTGGATGTTGGTTCAACTGGATAACTATGCACATATACTTAATTTGAGTTGATTGATTCATTGGACTAAATTTGTGAACTTGATAATTCCATGTAGATAACAATGGCACTTAGGAAACTGATAAAGGACCAGTCTGTCCAACCAGTTAAGCAACTTTGACAACAAATGTTGTACATTCTAAATTTCAAACCTCTGACCAAGGAGCACAGAGGAATGTGGCACGACCATGACGATAAGCCTTTGAACAATCTTATTCCTTGTTTTACTTCTTACAATTAAAGCACAGTCAGCTCAAACAGTTCGCATGTAGGCCAAGCATGGTCTCTCTTTTTTGTCTGTTTTGTTTCGGATTTAGCATAGGGAAGTATTTGTGACCAAATTTTTTTTGTCAGTAATATTTGTTTGTTATGTGAGGGTAATGTGAGTGTAAGAGTCATCCACACTGATGGAAACTACTGAGTAAGGTTTGATACTGGCATTGCTCACCAGGATTAATCTGCATTTCCATACTATATTTTGGTTAGACCTTGCAGATTGTGTTTGTTTAGGGATTAAGGCTGGCACTATGTGTGCATATGGCTGCTATACATTTGCATAATGCTTGTTGGGTCCCTTAACATGTGGCACAATGTGGTTAGACGTTCTTAATTCTGTTGGTAAGCCTTAAGATTACTGCATTACCGCAGTGGTTTGTTTTTTTGTCTGGTCTGAACGCATATGGGCAGTGAATAGTTTACATTGTTTTTATTTAATTCTTTTTGGGAGAAAGTATGGCCAGAAAATATGTCTGATTGTCTACACTTGCTTTTGTTTCTTTTATTGATAGCATAAGGGGGTCGTGAAATGTTATTCTGCATATCTCAGCTGTTAGTTGAACTTTTTCATATGCAGCTTCATATCAAAATTCTCAGGGTGCAAAGAATGATAGTGATCCGAACAATACAACTGTGGGTACTTTGTGTTTTATTCCATTTTTTAAATTACTTTTTCAGCCACATGCTTGTGACTTTGAATATTTTTGTTGCAGATATTTGTAGGTAATCTGGATGGTAATGTTACTGATGACCATTTGAGACAAGTTTTCAGCAAGTACGGTGAGCTAGTACATGTCAAGATACCAATGGGCAAGCGATGTGGGTTTGTTCAGTTTGCAGACAGGTGAGCGGATCTGCTAGTCTTCTTTGGGGATTGTTTTCATGGATATCACTGAACCAAACCTTCTGTTTTGTGCTAATGCGTCATCAGAAGCTGTGCCGAAGAAGCATTGCGTGTGCTAAATGGATCTCAGCTGGGTGCACAAAATATCCGTCTTTCATGGGGGCGCAGTCCTTCAAACAAGCAGGTGCGTACTTTACTCGAACATAAAGCTGTTTAACTTTGTAGATGCCCTCGAACTTGACTGATGTTTACGATGGGTTTTTCAGCCTCAGGCAGATCCAAGCCAATGGAATGGTGGAGGCGGCTACTATGGATATGCACCTACCCCCGATAGCTATGGGTACGCACAAGTTTCCCAAGACCCTAACTTGTACTATGGAAGCTATCCTGCTGCCGGGTACGGTAATTACCAGCAGCCACAGCAGCAGCAGCAGCAGCAGCAAATCGGGTACAGCTGAGTTGAGCTTTTTTCCGTATTCGACTCTAGAGACCGATAATAATATTATGATACTGTTTTTGAATTGAGACCGAGTATTTTTGGTTTTTTCTTGGAGAAGTACTTTTGGATGTAGTTTTGTACTGCTGAGGTTATGGCATTCATGAAAGCCTTCTCGAATATTTTGGTTTCTGCAGTTTTGCGTGTGTTGTTTTTCATGAACCACGGCCTTTACAGGTGCGGTGAGCATCACCACCGCAATGATTACGGTAGATGAGTGCGATTTAATCTACTTTTTATACAAATTTCAAAATTTAAACTCATATAATCGATGCAGCAGTGATGATCTCTACAACGTAAGGGTGGCGAGCAAACATATTTCATTGAATCGAACAATTTTCTTTATGCTTTTGTTTTGATGAATTGAGTCTTATATTATTGCAAATCCCTTAGAAAAATGTTAAAATACTACTATACTTTGGGTTACAATATGCACCTCACAAATAGAGCGTCGGATGTGCACCAAAAACCAAACGATCGAAGATCCAACGGTCACAGGGAGATGTCATATCAGGAAATTGTTAGTGCGTTCTCAAAAACGCCCTCAAGGGCTAAAACGGCTCGTCGTTTTTTTTTTGTCATTCTTTCTTTTCAACTTTGTGGGCTACATGACAGGCCCAAAGGCCCTCAAATGTTGATCGCTAATTTTTGTGGGCTGGCCCAAAGACTTGGAAGCTTCTACAATCTACTACTTACCGCCAGCTTCTCAATTAGTAGCCCCCCTCTCTCTCTGAGTTGCAGAGACCTCCGTCGCTACGACGCTCACCTCTTCCAACGACGACGTTTCAGTAGCCAGGTACAATTTCTCTTCTCCTCTGATACAATTGGTATAATTTAGTGTCATATGCCCCCATAGATTTTCGAAAAACTCACCGATGCTGCCGCCATACACTTCCACTTCCGCCGTGCTCTCTTTGTTCATCGGAGCTTCGATTTTCTCTCTTTCCAAACAGAAATTTAGGCTCTTTTCATTGCTATTTACTTCTCGATTCTCTAAAATTTGTGGGTTCTCCTTTTTATTGACCCTAGTCAGACAGAGAGTATCTACATTGTGGAAAATAACTGCATTGTCAAGATTTTTTTTTTTTTTTTTAAATTTTATTTTTCATGTGGGGGCGTTAGTGGGTTTTGACAATGTGGTCGGAAATCTCTGTTATATGAAGCTTGATTGATGCCTTTGTGTTGGTAACTTGCTGAAGGATCGATCTTTTATCCTGTGTTTGGGATACTTCTTATTTGATAGGTGTAAGTGTAATGTTGGAGATTTAGTACTAGCTCTATGATTCTTTGTTTTCTTCAGCCACATTACGGTGTTGTATTCGGTTTTCATGAGTTTATGTATGGGGTATTAGAGTTGGGTGACCTATTATCTCTGTAAATTTCGTGGCAGGGCGAGCTTGCTCGATGGATATAATCTCCCAATTACAGGGACAAGTGAACGCAATTGCTTCTCTTACCTTCAATACCTTTGGGACACTACAAAGGGATTCTCCTCCAGTCCGACTTTCACCAAATTACCCAGAACCACCAGCTAATCCTACCGAGGATGCTGCTGATTTTGCCCAACAACCCAAGCTCATGGGCGCAGCTCTTGTTAAGGCTGCTAAGCAGGTGCAGCATATTTCCGTGTTTGATAACCCTACTATCTTGAATCATGTCAAGTATTCAAAATTTTGTAACTTATGGCGACCCAAGTTACCATTCTAAACAGCGCATTCGTGCACATGGCTCTTTTCCTGAATGAATTCTTCTGTTTTAATACAAAGTGTACTTTTACATTTCCACCGGGTTTGGCATAATGTGATAGTTTAAGCTTGTTTGCAGTCCAATTATTAGCATCGTAATTGCTTATGTTTTGCTGATATGAGTTGAATGTGTCAATAATATCTAGTTTATCAATTCGCTATGCTCTTGTGCTGTTCAACTAAGATACTAGTGCCTGATTCTTGCACAGTTTGATGCATTAGTTGCAGCACTTCCATTAGCCGATGGAGGTGAAGAAGGGCAGCTGAAACGGATTGCAGAACTGCAGGTATGGGGTTCATCTGTTTCTCCATCCAAAATCTTAATTTTCATTTTACTTCGTTTGACTGGGCTTCATAAGTTCATACGGTACCTCCAATTTTTTGGTGAAACTTTTTAGGCCGAAAATGATGCTGTCGGCCAAGAACTCCAGAGACAACTCGAAGCTGCAGGTGTATCTTTCCCTTCTGCCTTTCTAATTCTGTGATGCTTGTGCTCTTGAGAACTACTCCCTGCACTTGATATAAAAGTAGATTGGCTGCTGTGATAACTAACAATCTCAATGATATTCTGGTGCCAGAGAAAGAATTAAGGGAGGTCCGCGAATTGTTCGGCCAATCGGTAGAAAATTGCTTGAACCTGAAGAAACCTGACTGAAGACAACGTGACTATCGTATGGTTCTCCCGCTATTTCGATTCGTTTGGGTCCCTTGTCTTATGTAAATGTTCAAAGAATCTGCAGGCTGTAATCTCTACAGCTCAATTTTTTATTAACTGACTGATGACTAAAGCCCAAAGAGGTGAACTCTTTGTGATTTGTTGTTTCATTTGAAAGTTGATAGAAGATCAAAGATATTTGAGTTGTAACTATATTCCTAAATTTGAGCGTATGTTAAATTTTAGCTAAAAAGACTATCACAAGTCATCTTGGCAGTGCCTTCTCCAACCGATCTGGCCAAAGGGCTCGTGGTCCCCATCCGGCCAAAAATGGGAGAACCGGCCAAAGGGCTAGCCAACAGCAGCCAACCCTATAACCCAACCTTCCAACGCCAGAATGTTAAGCTTGACATTTTGCCAGTCCTTTAGCGCTAGAATGTTAAGTTTGACATTTTGCTAACCTTCTAGCTCAAACTATTTGAATGTCAACGACTACCTGGCATCTACATGACGCCAGCTAGCACAGCTAGCTGATGTTATGCTGCCATTAGGTTACCATTGGAATACTCAAAAACCGATTAAAAACAATATTTGGGAAAGAGTAACGAAAACATGCAGAAACTTGTGAATAGTTGCAACATTATCCGAAAGGTACAAATTAAAACCAGAGCAGAAATGCATAAACTGATACTAAAAACATCCTCAAATGTTGAATACTAAAAAAAAAACCACCTCAGACACTATTAACTGTCTCGTTCTCATACCGACAAACCGAAATGATCGATGTTGCCGCATGGATCTACGATTGTGCAGCTGGAATGACATCTTCGACGTCATACTCCATGTTGCTAATGCCATCAGAAGTAGGGATTTGAGGTTCGGCAGTTCCCAGAGGAATAGATCCTTCTGCAGCAATCTTTGATTCGGATGGTATAGTAACCGGAGCAGCAAAAGGAGTTTGGTTGAGTTCTATGTCCACGCACTTTACCGCATCATGAACCAATGAACTCGTTTCAGGACTGACATCTGGAGGTTGAATTTGAGAATTCTTGCATACGGTTTCAATGCCTGGTATGAGAGCAACAGAGGCAGGTTCAGCAAATACAGGAGTTTGGTTGAGCTCGAGATTCGGGCTTTTTGCACCATCATGAACCAATGCGCTCTTTTCAGAATCCACAGCCTGAGGTTGAATTTGATTATCCTTACCTTTGGTTTCGATGACTGGCATGGCAGCAATTCTTGCGGATTCAGCAAATACAGGCGTGTGGTTGAGTTCAACAACTGGCATGACAGTGGTCACTCTAGGTTCACCGAATACAGGCATTTGGTTGAGTTCAAGTCTGAATCTCTTTACTTCATAAGGAGCCGATGCACTCTTTTCAGAACCCGCAGCCTGAATTTGAATTCAGGAGCCTTACATACGGGTTCAACACCTGGTAGGGCAGCAATTGGTCCAGCTGCTGTTTCTGTTTTTGATGCCTCATTGGCCTCTACACCATTTGGCCCTTCCATTATTGTGGCAGCTTCAACTTCCTCCAGCACTTTCTCCTGTTCAACAACGTTATTATGCTCTGGCTTGGGCATAGTAGGGGCAGATTGGTTATCAGTTCCAGGTTCCGGAAATTGCTGTGGCATGACTTTTCCTCCCAAGGGCGGGACTGCATCATTCTTCGGCAAGTTCACAACCGGCGGAGTCACAAAAGAGAAAGGTTTGTTTTCAAGTGACTCCAGGATTCCAGACTGAGGGACAGAGGATTGAATTTGGTTAGGAACAGTAGGTATTTGGGGTTTCACCTCAACAGGTTGCCTATTACTTTGTTCTGATGGGTGGGCGGACTCATAACGCTGAGATTGTGGGTTGAGAGGCGGTATGGGAATTTCTCTTCTTTTGCACATCATAATATGAGGAGCAATGTCATTTGCTGGAGTAATGGGAGTGATTTTCTCCTGCAGAAACACAACACCCCTCAGCTGAGTGTCGGTGTCTCCGACCCTAACATTCAGAAGATATCCAGCATCAAATGACCCCTCAATCACGCCAGTGACTACCTGGCCTACCATTTCATTCTCAACATCATCACTTGTACTTGCATTCTGTTTGGTTTTCTTCGAACTGTCAGGTCCTGGGATCACAGTTGGGTTCTCTGCAGGAGCCAAGTTTTCATCCTTACGTGGACGTCCACGTTTTCGCTTCATAGGGGGGTCTGACGAAGATAGAGAGCCTGTTCCCTGAATCTGTTGATTCATGATGACAGATTTCACGTTTTAAAGTTTTCCCCTGCAATGGAAAAAGTAATTTCACAATCTTTCCTAGCACACGCTAACTGAAAACCATATAAGATGAGCATGATTATCAAATATTGTTTTACCAATTATAATATGATATGACTACAAAGGGAAGGAAAAGAAAGTGAAATGAGTAACAATGATAACCATAAAGTCCTGAACCAGAGAGACAAAGCTGTTCTTATATCAGCATGATATTGTTTTAGCTCAACAACTTAGAAATAGAAGTTTAACTTGAAAAACAGTAACAAACAAATATCTCTTAAATTTAATAAATTTATAACTGAATTCTGAAATCACACTCAGAAAATGCTACAAAAGTCTAATTGCAAAAGACCACAGACCGATCTCTCGATCTTAAGATCAACACCTAAACTGTTATACCTCAATCAATTTACAAATACCTCAAAAGCTTAAAGTTCATGCAATTGTTTTAGGTCAATCAACTTCGAAATAGAGGTTTAAATTTAATAGCAAAAACAAACAAATACGGTCAAATTCAATTAATGTATACCAGCAATCACACTCAGAAAATGCTACAAAAGTGTGATTGCAAAAGACCACAGATAGATCTCTCGATCTTAACCTATACTATTATACCTCAATCAATTTACAAATAATCAAAAGTTTAAAGTTCATACAGTTGTTTTAGCTCAATCAACTTAGAAATAGACATTTAAATTTAGAGAATTGTTATTAGCACTCCAAAAATCTCATTTGGCAATCCAAACTTTCTATAATTAGAAAGAAAAATATACTTGTGAGGAGTGTAGAATGAGATTTTTGAAGTGCTAATAACAATTCCCTAAATTTAATATCAATAACAAACAAATATCGCTTAAATTCAATTCATTATTAAATCTGAATTCACAATCAAGAAAATGCTAAAAAGGTCTAATTTGCAAAAGATCACATAAAGATCCTTCTGGATGTTCAGATCTTCACCTAGACTCTTACTCCTCAATCAAATTACAAGCATATCAAGTTTAAAGTTTATGCAATAACCACACAAAACAACAATTAGTCTAATCAAATTCACAATGAAAGAATGATGCTAAGAAAGTCTAATTTGAAAGGAAAATGAAACTCAGATAGAACTCTCTGAATCATCAGATTGCCATTGCTTCTGTACAAAGTAAAATAAAGAAAAAAGCTCAATGGATAATCAGAGCCAAGGTTTTGAAATTCTCACCAAGTCTATGATCGGAATGAAGGATTGAGCAGTAGACCTCGATTCTTTCACGCTTGTGCTAAGAAAGGAATCTTTAATGGATAGATAGAGAGGAGAAAGGGGGAAGCGTTGGATAGAGAGAAAAATGTTATGTCAGGACCGTAACAGTTTTACGTTATGTCAGGACTGTAACAATAATAAATTTGGGCCAAGAGCTAGGGAAAAACGTAAAGTAATCCAAATTTCGGTTACTCCAAACTTATCATAGCCCAATCCATCGAAACCTCAGGAGCAGGAATGTCCTCCTAAACGCACAGTCCAAACCTCCCCTCGCCCCAAATTTCAACAGTCATAGTAGCATCTACTTTCCTTCCTGGACACCCTAAACTTCAGGCTCAATGCAAAAGCATTGGAAGCTCTACTTAAGTATACAACCAAAAGATAATATATGGTTTCAAGAATGCATAGAACCATGCTAGCTTTATACAAATCATTGATGCTATTGAGTTCTGAGGGAGGTATTGAAAGTTTAGAATGTTCTGAACAAATGTTTAGAGCAAAAGAAAGACGGAAAAGAGAGAGATAGAAAGAGCAACTTAGCAACTTCAATCATAACCATGTTCTTCATTTCTTTATTTGGTCCCAAGAATCTACCAACATGATAATGCTAAGATTTAAGAGTTTACTTAATTGTATCCCCAAAGACGCTAAAGCATTAAAGAGGTTTAAGAAACTATTATAGGAGCTCATAGTTCAATAATTTTATCTTGTAAGTTAGATTCAATATAAACACTACCCAAGTACAAAAGCAGCAATCAAGAGATTGAAAAAAAAATACAGGAACGAACTAAATATACCAAAGAATTTGACCGCTCAAAATCCATCTCAACAATTGACCCCAATTCCAGCAATGACTATCCTAAAGCAGCAAAAGCTTTTGTGTTCCTCCGAAATACATGCACCCATAATACAACCTTATCAGATTTTCCCACAAGCTATACTGCCATTATAAAGGAGAGTTGTGATCACATACTGGCATAATCTAATTAAACTACCATATATTAACATACAACCCCATAATTCCCAGGCTAAATGACAACATAATAACAGATGATAAACCGATTTCCAACCTTCCACATGTAACACCTACTAACTAACACTTTTCTCTTATGACGAAACTATTGATAAATATTTTCCCATGAGTGGAATTAGATTCATACATTATTGCAAAAACAACAGTTGAGCTAAACATGGTAAATGATATTATCATGGTTTGATTTTGTGCACTGCAATAAAGAAAGTTAATAAGATGTCAAAATTCCCTTCTCTCTCAATGTTTTCTTCTCACCGCTACATGCTTGTTTCTCCGTTTATGCATCACACATTCTCATTCATAAAATGTCTAAATTCTAATGTTCTGTGCAGAGCGCCCCATGTTACAGAAACCTTAATGTAGTAATAATAAACCCAAAAGTAGACAAAATATGAACCCAAAAAGCATTAGCAGATATGGGTTAGGCGAGTTGGTCCGAGCAGAGTGCGCCCGCGGCCAGACCCTTACACCTAAGTTCGAATCCCCCTCATTGATTAGAGTTTATTAAAAAAGATTCAATCTTTGAGAAAATAAAACAAATAGAAAACAATTTCTGATGGAAACAAACAGTCATTATTGTCACTCCATCACTCATCTCACTCGAGCAAAAGAAGAAAAAGGAAAATCATGTAATTTCAGCTCAGTCATGAATCAACCCGTACAAACATATAAAAATCTCTCTCTGGTTCCTCAGATCAAAACCCTAACGCTACCTCCATCAAATCATAGTAATTTCTCCAGTGATGCATTTTCTGAAATCAAAAACAATAATGCAACGCCGGCGGAATTGTAACCACCGCAATGTCGACAAACGAGGAAGAAGCACTTACATGCGGCAGACGGCGGCCGGCGACGGCGAGGAAACGAGAGGCGGAATCAAATCAAGGAAATCCAAATCCGCGGCAATGGTGGGAAAATCAATTTTTCTGTTGGTTTATTTTATTTTATTTTCTTGTTTTTTGGGCCCGAAATAGGTTTTGGACTCTGTTCCCGGGTGTTTGGACGCGGGAAATACTTTCCCACCATGCACGGGTTAAGTGGGCCAGAACCTTGACCGGTCCATCCAAGTACTGTGGGCCGAAGAAAAACTACGAGGCCCAAAGGGAAAGAGAGGTACGTGTGCTGCACACGAGACGGCTATGAGAATCTATGGTCACGAATTTGCCATAATCGTACTGCCTTTCTTGTCGTCGCGTCTTCTCCAACTCTCTGAAGTTCCTGAGCCACAGCAACCATGGCGTCTCTGCTAGCCAACGGAATCTCCAGATTCTCTGCCCAATCCGCCGCAGAACCGCCCAAGTTCCCAAAGGGGTTTCACCCAAAGCTCGATTCTTTGAAGCTTTCGGGTCAGAAAACCCCTGCTCCGAAAACAGTCTTTCGGGTGCGAGCAGATGTCGGGTACGACCCAAAACCGATTGAATCCGATTCGGGCACCTCAGGTAAGCTGTCGATTGAGGAATTTCTTCGCAATCGCGAGTACGATAAGAAATTTGGGTTTAATATCGATATAGATTCGTTTTCGATTCCGAAAGGGCTTTCTAGGGAGACGATTAGGTTGATTTGGACGCTGAAAGGCGAGCCTGATTGGATGCTTGAATTTAGATTGAATGCTTTTGAGAAGTTTTTGACCATGAAGGAGCCCCAATGGTCTGATAATCGATACCCTGCAATTAATTTCCAAGATATGTGTTATTACTCTGCACCCAAGAAGAAACCCACATTGAAGAACCTCGATGAGGCAGACCCGGAGCTTCTTAAGTACTTTGATAGGTTGGGAGTGCCGTTGAATGAGCAGAATCGATTGGCCAATGTTGCGGTGGACGCAGTTCTTGATAGTGTGTCGATAGCCACCACACATAGGAAGGCTTTGGAGGAAAAAGGAGTGATCTTTTGTTCGATATCGGAGGCTATTAGGGAGTACCCGGATTTAGTTAGGAAGCATTTGGGTAGAGTGGTGCCTACTGGGGATAATTATTATGCTGCTTTGAACTCTGCGGTGTTTAGTGATGGATCATTTTGTTACATACCAAAGGACACTAAATGCCCGATGCAGATTTCAACTTACTTTCGGATAAACGCGTTGGAGACGGGGCAGTTTGAGAGGACTTTGATAGTGGCTGATGATAGGAGTTTTGTGGAGTATTTGGAGGGGTGTACTGCGCCGTCATATGATACAAACCAGCTTCATGCTGCAGTGGTAGAGTTGTATTGTGGTGAGGGGGCGGAAATTAAGTACTCCACAGTGCAGAATTGGTATGCCGGGGATGAGCAAGGGAAGGGTGGGATTTATAATTTCGTTACCAAGCGAGGGCTTTGTGCTGGGGCTCGCTCGAAAATATCTTGGACACAGGTGGAGACAGGGTCTGCAATTACTTGGAAATATCCGAGTGTTGTTTTGGAGGGCGATGATTCTGTGGGCGAGTTCTATTCAGTCGCTTTGACTAATAATTATCAGCAGGCAGACACAGGTACAAAGATGATACACAAGGGCAAAAATACAAGAAGTAGAATTATTTCAAAGGGCATTTCAGCTGGGAATTCAAGGAACTGTTATCGGGGCCTTGTGCAGGTTCAATCCAAGGCAGAGAATGCTAAAAATTCCTCACAGTGTGATTCAATGCTTATTGGAGATACTGCGGCTGCCAACACCTACCCATACATCCAGGTAACTTCATTTGATCTTGTCTTTTATTTTTTGGGCATGAGATTACGTACGTTGTTTTTTAATCCTCATGACACAGAACCGAGCGCAATGACATTCTAGGATTCATATAGCCGACCCCACTTAGTGGGAAAAGACTTTGTTGTTATTGTTGTTGTTGTTGTTGTTGTTATGCTTGCCTTAGCCTGATGGTTATTTAGTGTGATGATTTTTTAGATTGATCCTTCATTGGATTGCATATGACTTTGTGTTACTCTGCCCTTGGTACTTCATATGATGCTTCCATCGAATATGAATTGCGTAGTATCATTTACTGTCTTTATTGCAGTGGGCGATCGATTTATTTTCAGTACATTCAAGACTTTCTGTATCTGGTGTGAACCTTGATTTGGCTGTTTTGCATTGATTTCCACTTCAATTCATTTCCAATATGTTGATTGGTTTTCGTCCATTTAGCGCCCGTATAATGTGTAACTATAATGGAGTGCTCGTTTATTCGTTAATGAGTTCCTCACCTGTGTTTAACAGGTAAAGAATCCCTCAGCTCGAATCGAACACGAAGCAAGTACTTCCAAAATTGGTGAAGACCAGCTATTCTACTTTCAACAAAGGGGAATCGAGTATGAGAAAGCCATGGCCGCTATGATATCTGGGTTTTGCCGGGATGTATTCAACGAGCTCCCTGACGAGTTTGGGTCTGAGGTGAACCAGTTGATTGGCTTGAAGCTTGAAAATTCAGTCGGTTAGAAAACAGCACTGGTTTAGGTAAATAAGCTGAGTCGATGAAAGTTCGATCTTTTTGTCAAACGGGTTTAAAATCCGAGTAGTTTGCAAAGACGTTTTAACTTGATAGCTACGTTGTGAAATGGCTAGAATATGGAAAGTATATGTACATAGATATTTGCTGTAAATGTGTACGCTCTGCTGTCAAAATATACAATGTAACGTAAGGCATAACATTAAAAATGCTTGTTATAAATTGAGCTTAAGGTTATCAAATGTGTCGAACTTGCATTGAGGCAACGATAAACATACGCGAATGATGGAAAATCAATTCGCTTTTACATTCTTCTCCTCCGCCCCTTCTGTAGTTTTTGGAGCAGAACTTTTGTTGAACAAAAGCGTCATCTGATCGACGAAGAGCATGCTTCTCATTTGCTCCAGTTGTTCCC